TTTTGGCTCATCTTTGGGATAGGAGTATTAAAGATGTAGAATGAATCTCTAAACAGCTGCGCCAAACAGCCCGTTCAGTTGTTACTGTCGGACAGCTTTTATGAGCATTCCCTCACCTAACTGCTCGTACCAGCTGGGTTAGGTATCCATGGATGCCAACTCATGTAATTAGATTGAACGAGCTAGGAAGTACTTGTATGAGCAGCTCTACAGTGACTTGAAAGGATGGTAATACTTAGCAGAGGGAGTGAATAACTGGGAGTAACGTTGGTTGTGGGGATTTTTTTGGCAATATACCTCAGTCCAAGGGAGAACAGTTGCTCACAGCCTCTTAAAAACACTTGCCAGACTAAATTCTAACAGCTAAACAGGAAAGATATAATCTGATTTGGGAACTTGGTTAAGCATAAGGAATGAGAGTTTCAGGAAGTTTCATGGTATCAGGATTTGGCTATGTGAACACCTGCCAGCAGAAAATTATGTATTTAGAGCTGTTAACACACTTGCAAGGGTAGGTGCATGATAACTAGAAGTTACGAATGATTTATTGGCATATTACTTCTAGACATAGGTTGGAATTCAAGAAGTGGCATATTTTAAAAAACAAAGCCTCCATAAAACAGAGCAACAGTCGTGATCCTCTTGCTTGTTCATCAGTAATGCTGCGAGAGGCACCGTTTCCCAGTGCTGAAGGTTGAGATGCCTTCAGCTGTAAAATACACCAGGCCTTGGAGTAAATGAAGTGCAGCATTTCTTTCTTTAAAACTAATTAAGCTCATAGTGAGCAGAAGGATGTCACCTCAAAGTTTGACTAGTATTAGAATTTTTTAAATCAAAAATTAAAAAAGCTCATATAGGCTTTTCTCAGCTTCATTATATCTGGTTATTTAAAATATTTATGTTCCTCAGAGACTCTTGTAATGAAAAGATGTAAATTAGGTGGGTCAGTCAGAAGATAATTTGTTTTGATTTGTTTACTATATACTATACCCTGTGGTTACTAGCTTTGTTTTTAAATGAATCCAAAACCCAAACATCTTTAACTCACTAAAAGGAAAGTCTTCTCGATAAACTGCCTGGATTCTTTTCAGCTGAAAAGAGACAGTTAATTATAAAAATTAGTATTACCCAGTGTTCAAATGCAATTAAGTTTCATTCATGCTCTTGAATTAAAATGGTGGATGTGGTCAGAAGAAAGAGCACATGACATTTAAAACTTTAAGTATGGAATTCTAAATTCAAGCATCATTTTATGTATTAGCTTGAGAGTTTTGTTTTTCTTAAAAAAAAAAAATAATTGGTTATTAGGTCTTTTTACATAACATTTCTTCAGGCTGACTGAGTTGATCAACACAAGTCTTTCTGTGGGTATGCTGTATACTCAGCAATTTCCAGCTGCTCAAAAGTATTAGGATTATTTGCAAGCTATAGTTTAAAAAACTAAACAAAACCCATAACCAAAATGGAAATACCTACATTGTGGCTTGTGCTAGGTTTAATGAAGTTAGTTAAAGTCATACCTTCAGTTAAACTGGTATCATTTGCTTTAGCCTTTACTTCTATAAACACACTTTCTTAGATTAGGTGGATTGTTGCCATTAGTTCCAGTGTTGAAATGAGAAGACTGGCACACTTTAATATAATTTAAAAAACCCAGATCTGCAAATATTATGTCAGATTTCCACATAATAGAAAAATGCTGTCTCCCACTCATATTTTTCCATCTAGTCTGTGGTGCTGACAAGTTTTTCCAAGTCAAATTTAGATTTTTCGAGCAACATAAAATAAGTCCAGAAATAAAGCTGGTTACTGCAATATATATAAAAACATTTACACACAGCATTATATTACTTGCAGCCAAGTGCCTTCTGAATGTATAACCAAGAAATAGCATTCCAAGATACAGAAACATGTCAGTTAGTTATATTTATCTTAAATAGAATTTGCATGAAAATGTAAATGTTAACTTTGTCTTATAAGAGATACCATCTAGTACTAGTTGCGACTTGTTTCCCATCAATGAATGTCAAGGGTATTGCATGAGACAGGAGAAGATGATGGTAACTGAATAGAAAATGGGAAAACCAGTCTTGCTAACTGCCGTCTTATTCTGGGAAGTATCTGCTGCTGGCTTTCTGAGGGAGGGAAGGCCTGCCTGTTGAAGCAACTGAGCACAACTACTGCCACTAGCTTAGTGGGAGCTGCGAGTTGCTTAATATTCTCAATCCTGTTGTTACTCATAATTGTTCAGTGCTCAATTCAGATGCAACAGCTGCATTTTTGAGGTCTTGCATTTATCTGCTCTGTTTTGGGGTTTTTTTGTGTGTGTGTTCTTTTTTTTTTAAAAAGAGATCAACAAGAATGATTGAACGGCTTGCCTGAGATCATACACAAGTGACTGTGGTTGGATAAGGCCCAAAATTCTCCTAGTTCCCAGACTTCAGTGTAACCACAAGACCGCAGTGCTTCAGTTGAACTTCAGCCTCAACTGGAACTTGGCACAGAGAATCCCAAGGAAAGAATTTCCTTTTGAAGTCTCTTCTAAATGTTCTGACTTGTTTTGTCCTTTGTATTCAACTAGTTCAGGAAAAATAACTTTTAAAGTATTGGTTCAACTGTCTAAATAAATGTTATGTGCTCGTAGATTTTTTTTTTTTTTTTTTAAAAAAGCTTGATGATAGCTTGAAGTTTGCCAGAAAGCAAGTAGCTGTGCAGTCTGCTGCTTTGAAGGGCATGGACATCAATGGAAGGAAGATATCACTGAAGATCTTCCTCCTCTAAAACAGAAAACACGCTGACTGCTAATAAAATACATTCCATCTCTGGGCAGGAAGCCCTTTTTTTTTGGCCAGGTTCTTATAGTTCAAAGCACTCCTCTTTAGGAATTGTTTAGTGTTTTGCTGTTTTTTCGTTTTACGCAGATCTTGAGTGGGAAATGTGAAGACAATATAAAGTTAAATGTGCCCCCAATGTATTGGCAGGGGGCAGGGAATAACAAATTAGAAAATGTTCCCCTCTTTAAGAACTCCTTACGATCCTGCATGTATTGAGTATCTTTGGTCTGCCCTCTCCAAGGAAAGCTGACTGGCAGGACAGCTTTTGAAAAAACAATGGCTTTTTAAGAATAAAAGCAATTATCTGTTTAAATGAAATGTCATTCATGAAGCTGACAATTCCATAGTAATATGCCGGGAGTATCTGTTACCTTCTCCTCCTCTTATTTCAAAAGTGAGCCACTTCAATCAAGTGCATTGACTTTCTCAGTGAGAATATTATTTTGTATTTGCAAAGCTTTTCTTCATACAGAGGTAGTGTTACAGATTTGACTGAAGTGAGGTGGTGTAAATCCCTCAGTCGGCTGCTGCCTGTGAGCCATGAACACAGGTCAGTCTTAACAGTCTTGCCCAGAGGGTGAGGATGGTAGCCATATAAGAATTCTTATAATTTGTGCATTTATAACTCATTTGTGTAAGCTAGATAGCTCTACTTGCTAGTCAAGAGCTATACCTCAATAATGGTGCTGCCCTAACTGTACCTCAAACACAGGAGTTTGAACTATCTGTGAAAAGTTTCTCTGTGGATACTTTAATTTTCATTGCAAACATGCAGGTGTGCTTGTATGCCCCTCACAGTTTTACCTGTCCTGTGTGTAGCTGGTCATGTGCTAACTCCTGTACAACAGCCAGGTAGCTTTTTAGCTGGAGCCTTGGTTTGTCTCGCTAGCTCAGGCTTGGTGCTTTTGGATCTTGTTGGCTTGAGCGCAGGTTTGGCTGTGAAAGATCATGTGGCCATACCTCACACTGTGCTAGAGGAATGGTTGCAGCCCTCAAGGGATACAGTTTGCTGCCACTGCTCAAGCAAGCAACAGTATGACGAGCTGCCTGATCTTGTAACTGAACAACAGAGGCAATGTCGTTGAGCTCTGAGAAGCAGGTCAACTATTTACATACAGTATAAAAACTAAAAAGAAGTAACACTATTTTAAACTGGATTTACCTAACTAAAAATAGTTAACTTTGAGACTAGTTAAAATACTGCATGTCAGACATCATGGGAAGAGTATCTACAGTGTATCTTGCTCTGTTACTCAGGTGTTTCCTTTAAAAAGGAAACATGATTGGATGTGATGTTAACTATAGAACGTGGAGCCTCCTGTTGCAAGTCTAATTTAACAGTTCAAATGGGATTCATCTTGTGTAACTTTCACCCACAAATTATTTTAAGAAGTGGCTCGATATTACTGTTTTCAACGGTGCATAAAGGTGAGCACAACAGAAGTTAATTATAAGAAAGTTAGTCTGTCATAATCCAAGCTGACTACAATGTGAAACATGAAATTATGTATTTGTTGAATTTAATTTTTTTCCTAAGAACCTCAAGCAATGACTTTAAAAGTTATGTGACCTGCCCATCCTGAATTTGAAAATACCACCTTGAAAACATGCTGGCTGAGATCCTTAACGTAGAGGCCTTTTTAAAAAAAAAAACCACAACACATGCTGTAAAATCAAAGGGATTATAAAGTTAGAACAGTAAAGGAGAAACTATACTGGATACATGATAATCTAGAAATACAATTTTTTAACTTTTTTCCCTTGGAAAAAGCTGGTGCAGAGAATACTGCTGGTTTTTATCCTGACTGTTTAATAATGGCTAAGAATAATCACTTAGAATAAATTAGGTCTGCAGTATAAATGAACATATGAACCTTTCAAAAGAGACATGTTACTTTTAGAGTATCTAAAATGTATTTAAACTATTTCAAGATTCATTTAATCACTTGCAATTTATATTACTTTAAGAATCTTCTATACAGCAAGTTGAACAGAAAAAAGCAAACATTCTAACAGCCCCTTTTCCCTAGAACAATTTTCATATAAGATAGTTTTAAATAGCTATTTTTAGCGCATCCACGTGTGCTCTCTCTCTCCCCTTTTTTCTAAAGGTAGCACAGCCAAAAAGACAATGCAAGAACTGGCATTTGTTGACGGTTTTCTTCTCCGTCTGGTAAAGATAAGGGGAAGAGAGAGACTTGAGACAGAACGTCCCAAAATGGAAAATGTGAACTTGATGTTTACTTTGCCAATCTCCAGGGACTTTGTTCTTCTCCTTGGTTATAATTGATAAAACCCACTTCGCTCTGTGTCTGCATGTCACTCTGTGTTCAGTTACAAAAGGTTTTCAATTCGGCTGTGGATGAATTTGTTTTGAAGCTTCCGTTTCACTTCACTGAATGCAGTGCAAACCAAGGCAAGAAACTTCAGTAAAATCCAAACAGGAGCTCCCATTCAGAATATTTGAGCAGCATTTTGTATATTCTGTTTTCTACTGTCCTTATTCTGGGGAGGAAGAATCCTCATCTTCATCCTCTTCATCTTCATCATTGAATGAGCATGGAGTTTCTCCCCGTGATTCAGAGTAGCGTGATGTTGCACTGCTGGACTGCTGACTGCTAGGGGCAAGAAGCTGCCCAGTTGCTAAGGCCACTTCAGCATCCAAACACAACCCTGGATTCTCACTATCAAAACAACAGAAATGTTGAAGTTTAGAGGATTTCTCATGCAGTTTTAAGCTTTCATTTTGGCCTCAGTTTTTCCTTTAGTTAAAGAAATGCTACCAACAAGAAAAAATCCAAAAGCTTTACATTAAACACAGCTAATAGTTATGAAAATTGCTAAAATATTGGAAAGTTGCATTAAAAAAATACTGGGTGCCTTTTTTTTTTTCATAACCAATTAGCAGAATTGCTCGAGCTGAAGAAAGCTTAAAGCAGAATAAATCCATCACAGTTTTGTCAATACACAGAAATGTTTGCAATATGAAATTAAGCTATTAAATACCACAAGGAAGAACCTGTTCCAGAATAATCCCTCCTTCCATTTTTTAAGGTACAGGTAACGTCCAAGCAAGGTATGGTTGTTGAGGTGGTTTTTGGATTGATTTTGTGGCAGTGGTGGGTTTTTGGTTGGTTTTTAATTTAAAATTATGATTAGACTGTGTGGACTAAACTTCTTTCACGAGAGCTTAAGCAGTAGTGCATTTAGACACCAACCATTCTTTTGGGTTCTTCAAAGTATTATCAGGCTTTTTTCCACATGCAATTACCTATTTGTAGTCCATGCCCAGGCAGGAATTTAAGGTTAATGAGGAAAACTCTGTCCTTATAAGGGCTTGAAAGTGATTCTATTCTTTTGAAACACAGACACAAAATAGCTAGTACATTCAAAATTCAAAGCATGTTGCTTTGACCTTTCAAATATAATTATCAAGGAAGACAGAGTAAGAGACTTTTTCAGAATCAAAAATCAACCCTAATAGAAAGCATCTCATTTCCTGCATGTAAGTGGTATGAAATACTGAGGTTACTGGAAGTACCACAAGCATATATCACTATCCTTGAATATAAAAATGTTTTTATTTACCTTGATTTAGCAGAAGTGCCTCCTGCTACCTCTAAATGTGAAACTGCTTGTGCTGAACTTGAAAGTAACCCTTGGTTTATCCATGAAAATCCTGCAGACATATCTAGAAGAAAGCATAATTGTATTTATGATAGTTACTTAATTTTTTTCTTCCTCTTACAATCTTAAACATTGCATTCTGTTTGCAGTTAGTTAGGATTGTTTAGTTTAGTTTAAAAGAGAAGGTACCAGTAGCTCGAGCAGCTGATTTTATACTGTAGATGTGTCCTGTTTAATCGAGACGAAATTTTAAATATATATTTACACTCCAGTGTTTGTGGATGCACTCAAGTCTTGCACTTCCTCGTGCTCAGAACTGCAGTTACTTCTACAAAACTTCTCCCTCCATCTGAAGAGAAGTCACACTGCAGATGACCCTGGCTAGTTAGCTGTATGCAATCACAGGTACCTGAAACAGAGTTTTGGAGTCCTTCATGGGAACTTACTGCTGCAAATTGATCCTGTCAAATGCCCCAGCAGCTCTGAGTGAGTGCCTTGGCTGTTGTGCTTGGTGAAGGTATAAATGGAATGGTACTTGTCAGGATTGGAGATGCTGCAGTGAGGCCACCAAGGCAGTATGCGTTTCAGTCATATGTGTTCTGATCGCCAAAGGCAGTTTCATCTTGGTGGTCTCTCATAGCTGGCTGTAATACAGCCTCCTAATCCGTTCTGACACTGAATAGCGATGGCCATCAGCTGTGGACATGAACAGACCATGTCAAAAGGTTTTGTGCCAAGAGTAGGGGAGAGCAAGCCTGTTGGATGCTGCATGTGTGATGTGTAAGGAAGTCTCCTCCCTAGGGCTAGGAAATTTTAGGATTAAAATGGTTTTGCAATAATGCTGAATTCCTTGAGGTAATTTGTTAAAAGCCTTCTGAGGGATACGACAGGGTTACAACCCTCATAGTGCTTGTTTTCAAATTCCCTAATAGGTAATGCTGTCAGTTGTTTCCGGTTACGCACACTTCTGCCAAGAGAATCACCAAAACAAGTCCACTGACCTCACTGCACTTACGGGATTTGGGGGGTGGGGGAACGGGACCCAGACGACACAGCTGGTTTAAATTTGTTTCTCAGATAAGCTGTTTCTGTTAACCTACCCAAATTCCATCTCAACACAAAAGTTAAAAATCAAAATAAAGTTATCAATCAGGACTGTCTAGTTCTTTTTCATCGTACTTGCATGTGGTTCCAGCTGGATGCATTAAACCAGGAGTTACAGTCCTTGCTATTGTTTTCTATGCCTAACCAAACCTCCGTTCTGTACAGCGCAATGGCAGTAAAATGGGATTGTACTCTTCGTATTTTATCTAGAATTGCTCTGCAACAGCAGGTAAGAGGACTAACTAAATGCATTTGTTGTTATGTATGCTTTCTCATTTGCCCTTCTGTGTTCTTGTTAAGCTTTGGCTCCTTAAGATTTGACAGTGTACTGCCTAGCACAGAGACTGTTTGAAGCAGGTGGTCACAGCCACATAAATTGGCTCACCATCCACTGGGGTCCACAGGCCACCTTGTTTTGTGCTGTGGAGACCTGTTAGCAGTGAGGTATTTAATGGCGTGTTAGAAAGCAAGGCTAGCAAGGTTGATGTTCCTGCCAGCAGAGTCTTTGGACCATGACAGAAAACATTCGTAAGTGGCAGCTTTAGAGTGATCTATGAGGACAGAATGAATGAGAATAGTGAAATATGAACATAGCTGGATGGCTTTCATTAAGATTGCCCTAAATGCAGGTTTGTTTTTACAGAGAACATGTTCCGACGGTCTCCTCTTGTCTTTGCAGGAGGAGGCTGAACCATTTGGAATGACTGCATTGTATTTAGATTAATAAAGTGGATTAGAGAGGTACCACAGTGTTGGTTCTTGGTCTTTTGAAAGGGTGTACCTGTGTGTACATGCTTAATATTCCAGAAGAATAACAAGTCACTGCTAGTTATCTTGTGTTTTATTAACATTTTGGGATAATAGCTAGTTAGCTTTTCTCTTTGAAGAGCAAGGTGAAGGAAAGTATGGATTTTACACATAGGGCAGAAGGAAGGTTCATAGATGCATACCCCTACTTTGTGCTTTCATTGCTTTATGTTTCTAAATTCTGTTTTCCAGTGGGCTCTGAGGAGGCAGGGAAAAGAGGAAGTTTGTGAAAGATGGGGAGTTTAAGAAGCCATTTCCTGTCGGGAAAGGGCTGTCAAAATAGAAGTCTGCCTACAATGAAGATACTTACTACTTCTAGCAGAGTAGAAAAAGTACAAATAGCTACACTTATGAACCAGGGAAAGCAGCTTGGAAAACCCTTCCCAAGGTAGTGCATTCCAACCTAAGAGTGGCATCCTTATTGTGAACTAGGCATATCTTGCAGCAGATATACTCGGTAGAAATTTCTGCTTTACATGAGAAGGCTCTAAGAGAATACCCTCAATAGCCTTTAGTAGTTAATGCAAAAGTGCCACACAGGATGACTGCTGATAGCTGAACAAGCTCATTCATTCAATGGGGACTGTTATCTCTTCACTTCCAACTCCAGCCCATCTTGTAGTCAAGGCTCGTTAAGCAGGTAGATAGCAGAGCACTTCTTCATGCAGGGAAGAATAAAGAAGTGTTGTAATCTAGAGGTCCTAAACTGCACCACTTTCTCTGCTCACTGCCTTAGTGGGATATATACAAATGGGATGTTGTTATCACAACTATTAGTGCCTCAGAATTTTTATTTCCTGCTTTTTTTATCTGTAGTCTCATTTCTAGGAGTCAGGACTCAACTGGCGAAGGCAGGACGTGATTTTGTGTTAACTGCCTGTAGTATATGCATGGCTTAAAAGTCACAGGATGTTACTTTGGATATGATTCTACAAGAGTTTATGCTTGTCTCAATCAGTGGCTTATTTCTGCTCATCCAGCAATCTCACTCCCTCCTTTAGACTTGATCTGTTCTGGACTGACCCATTGGCTAGAGAGTTCTACATGCTAAGTTGTCAGAAACTCCTCTGCCAGATAAAAAGCATGCAGTTTAGCACCCTGAATCAGCTCATGAAGAGCCGTGAATTCTAGAAACCAGTGGTGAGTCTTCCATGTCACTCCTCTTGCAGTGTAAGAAACATCTAAAGACTGCCAAGGTTAAAATGGGAAGTTACACTTAACTGAAAATATGAAAAGCCAGCATTTGCCTGAGTACAAGTATTGTGCAAAACATTTAAATCTGTTTCCCTTATTTGCCAGTTACTGCCATTAGAAACCTCTACTATGCAATTCATACTCTTAACTGTAGATTTGCGCTGTGTAATTAAATAGCAAGCAACAGACAGAAGAAACGTTTAAAATAAATGTACATACTCTAGTAACACTTCTGGACTAGTTTTTTTCAGAGGCTGAAACAGCTGAATGTAATCCATGTCTGAAGAGTACGTTACTTACCTCAATGCATTTTGAGTAAAAAATAAAATCAATACATTTCTTATGATTAAAATTCTAGCTAGCTTTGTGGCTGCTGGTGTGCTACTAGGGAAGTAACCCTAATCACAACATTCTTTAAGAATATGCAATCTTAGTTTTTTTTCTTTCTAGTTTCTTTGAAACAGAGTACTAAAGTTGTTTCTCACTTGCACAGGGACATCATGCTTGTTTTGTCTTAATGCTTTCAATAAAAAAACCCCGCCAGCAGTACATTAGTGCGACTGAATTTTTTCAAAGCAAACTAAAATGAACTACTAATCACTATTTTAGATGTAGTTTTATTGCTTAATCGTTAAAAGCTGGCTTTACTCAGTAAATAATGTAATGACACAGTTTTTTGCAAATGTCAAGAAACCCTGTTTCCTGAAGATAAATTAATGCAGGTTTAAAATGAAACAGAAATTTTAGTTTGCCCCTCAATATGTGGGAGCAATTAAGTAGCTTGAACACTGCAACACTATTAAAAGATGTGAGTTCTGCTCCTTTCCCCTTTTTTACATTGTTGGTAAATCATGCGGTAAATAATTTTTAGTTGAATGAACCTGCAAGGAACAAATCAAGATTTCTTTCAACTTCTCTTTATGGCACCAGTGCAGCCTTATAGAGACTTGGGGTGTAATTTCAAAATTGACCGAAATTAAAATATGAAATGTTAGTTTTAAAACCCACAGGACAAGGGGACCAGGAAAATGCAAACAAGTGTTGATAAACATAAGCACGTTTGATGTAGTTTGAAATGTTAAGTCATTTAAAATGTATTCATTTTAGTGAACGTAACTGAATTCTAATTTATATCCAGCAGTGTTTTGACATCACAAATTTTAAGAAACTCTTTCTCTCACATAATAAAATCAAGAATAGAAAAACACAGGTTCAGCTTCCTGACTACTTAACTATATTTTTCTTAGCAAAACAAAACAGCATTTTTAATATAAAGCCTGCATTTAAAAGATCCTGACATGAAGATTAAACGTTGTCAACAGAAGGGAATCAACTCTAGGAAAGTTTTTAAAAAATTAAGTCAAATATTTGAAGGTTCCAGCCTCCCTGTGTGAAAGACAGTTTTATACTACTGTAATTTAAACAAGACCAAAGCCTAGTTAGTAGAGAAGTCAGGGCAATAGCTTTGCCCCTCCTTTCCTCAAAAATGATGGTCTGTGTACAGTAATTCATTGGGTAATAACTGCCTTTACAGATGAAGTCCCTCTAGAAACTTAAGAAGCTGTTGGTCTCAGTTTAAGCTTTGGGTAGAGCAAGAAGAATGCAGTCTGTCAATAACTTAAGGAAGTGGTAACAAATTTTAGCAGCTCTAGTCCAATGACACAACACTGAAGGACTTCTAGGTCTGAGTCTGTTTAAGTGTGACCTGTTCAAACAGTATGACTAGGGGAGGTAGGAGCCTCTGCATGGGACACCTGTCCTGTAACTCTGTGGAGCCTCTTGCTTTATTTAGAGCTCAGTTCTCAGATGGCACCCGCTGGCCTGTGGGTCACCTAGGGATTACACTCAACCAGTTCAAGATGCTCTTTTTCTTCCCTTTTCTTCCTCAGCTTGGGATGAGCTGCTGCCTTCTAGTTTGCTCCTCCATACATCCACAGTTACTCAAAATTAATACTAACCCATAAAAAATCTCTTCTTGGTGTCAATTTAGTTATTTAAGAAATAATATCTTCATAATGCAGCTCACACAGAAGTTTGTTGCTATAAATCTGTGTGTATTAAGTTTACAGGACAACCATGATAAATCTTCCAAAAGTAACTGTAGAATAACTGGTTTGTGTACCAAGCCTGCTACCTCCCACAAAACTTCAAATGTTACGTTATCTATGTAGGTTAATATCATTACATTCGCTTCAGTTAACTAATGTTATGAATTTGATCAGGAACAATATTTAAAAGTCTCATCTAACTTACCTGTGATGTAGCCTTCTAAAGCTTTCGGCACCAGTGATTTTGCAGTTCTTAGGTCCTCAGCTGAGCATTTGCCTGCCTCAAGCCCAAAGGACATTCCCATTCTCTTCAGCACCTCACTATCATCATGAATCTCAAAAGTGTTATCAAAATTAAAGAGGTATTCAAATCTGCATGTAAAAAGTCAAAGTGAGATGGTTTTGAAAAGAACACAGCTATGCTTTTTTTTGCATTTTGGTTTTTTTTTTTTGGTATGCACTGAGGTAAGTGTCTAGTTTCCTCATTATCTATAAAGGGAACTCAAGTGCAGCAAATGCTTTTTCTCTTCTGCTTCTGTGACTGGCATGCCTATAGAGTTTAAAATGGCACTTTCTCAATTAAAGTAACTTGACCACTGCAGGAAGAAAGTCTAAAATTTTCTACCTCATTAAACAGATTCAAATGGGAAGAGGGAGGCTTTATTAAACATGAACCTTCACTTGTACTAAATCCAGTACTTTTAAAGGTCACTTGCAGCCCTGACACCAAAATAACTATTTTGTTTTTTCTTCCTTTAACATTTCACTTTCTGTCCTAATGTGCACCACTCCTCCTGTGAACTGACCTATTTACCTTGGTGTAATTTTGCTTTTTTGGATGCAGCTAGCAAAGCAGTCTGTTCAGAGTCCTGTATGTTCAC